AGCCCTGGGCTCTTGTGAGCTCCGTCTTCATTCACTAGGCCATTCCCTCACAATTCACAAAAAGCTCTCCTCCACCATTTTCCTTACTGCAAGTAGTCATCTTGTTTTTGTTTGTTTTTTTGAGACAACCGCTCTGCACTCTGTTGCCCAGCCTGGAGTCCAGTGGTGTGATCTTAGCTCATTGCAACCTTCGCCTCCCAGGTTCAAGAGATTCTTCTGCCTCGGCCTCCTGAGAAGCTGGGACTACAGGCATGTACCACCATCCCTGGCTAATTTTTTTGTATTTTTAGTAGAGATGGGATTTCACTCTGTTGGTCAGGCTGGTCTCAAACTCCTGACTTCAAATGATCTGCCGCCTCAGCCTCCCAAAGTGCTGGGATTACAGGCGTGAACGTCCGCGCCCAGCCAGTTATCTTAAATTCTCAATAGTCACATCAGAATACTATCACTACCTTAAGTTTAGAAAACTCAAAGCTTGAGAACTGAGAATTCTTTGGGTTTACTAAGGCACTAAAATTTTTGTAGTCAGTCACCAAAGGCTTTGAGAAAAGTAGCAAAATCTATAGGAACAAAATCTGTGACATAACACATGCAAGGCTCTGGAGCCTGGCAGAATCTAGCAGCTTTAAAAGAATTATTTAAAAGAATTTCAATTAAATATGTAGTTACCCTCAGTATCCTTGGGGGGCTGGTTCCTGGGCTCCCTGCAGATACCCAGATCCACGGCTGTCCGAGTCCTTTATATAAAACGGCTCTGTATGTGCACATGACCTAAGCACACTTTCCTTTCCACTTTCAATCACCTGTAGATTACTTATAACACCTACTATAATGGAAATGCTACATAAAGCTGTTACACTGTTTTGGTATTTATTCGTGACATTTTTTATTGTATTGTTATTTTAGATTTTTCTCAAATATTTCTGATCCACAGTTGGTTGAATCCATGGACACAGAACCCATGGATACAGAAGGTCGACTGTGTACATACGTATATATATAAGCACACACGTGTATATATAAAATATATAAAAACTGACAGTGGTTTTTGTTTGTTTTTGTGTGTGTCTTTTCTGTGTTGTTTTTTTTTGACATAGGGTCTCTTGCCCAGGCCAGAGTGCAGCGGTGTAATCAAAGCTCACTGTTTTTGTGTGTGTCTTTTCTGTGTTTTTTTTTTTTGAGATAGGGTCTCTTGCCCAGGCCAGAGTGCAGCGGTGTAATCAAAGCTCACTGTTTTTGTGTGTGTCTTTTCTGTGTTGTTTTTTTTTGAGATAGGGTCTCTTGCCCAGGCCAGAGTGCAGCTGGTGTAATCAAAGCTCACTGTTTTTGTGTGTGTCTTTTCTGTGTTTCTTTTTTTGAGATAGGGTCTCTTGCCCAGGCCAGAGTGCAGCGGTGTAATCAAAGCTCACTGTTTTTGTGTGTGTCTTTTCTGTGTTTCTTTTTTTGAGATAGGGTCTCTTGCCCAGGCCAGAGTGCAGCGGTGTAATCAAAGCTCACTGTTTTTGTGTGTGTCTTTTCTGTGTTGTTTTTTTTTGAGATAGGGTCTCTTGCCCAGGCCAGAGTGCAGCGGTGTAATCAAAGCTCACTGTTTTTGTGTGTGTCTTTTCTGTGTTGTTTTTTTTTGAGATAGGGTCTCTTGCCCAGGCCAGAGTGCAGCGGTGTAATCAAAGCTCACTGTTTTTGTGTGTGTCTTTTCTGTGTTTCTTTTTTTGAGATAGGGTCTCTTGCCCAGGCCAGAGTGCAGCTGTGTAATCAAAGCTCACTGTTTTTGTGTGTGTCTTTTCTGTGTTGTTTTTTTTTGAGATAGGGTCTCTTGCCCAGGCCAGAGTGCAGTGGTGTAATCAAAGCTCACTGTTTTTGTGTGTGTCTTTTCTGTGTTTCTTTTTTTGAGATAGGGTCTCTTGCCCAGGCCAGAGTGCAGCGGTGTAATCAAAGCTCACTGTTTTTGTGTGTGTCTTTTCTGTGTTGTTTTTTTTGAGATAGGGTCTCTTGCCCAGGCCAGAGTGCAGCGGTGTAATCAAAGCTCACTGTAATCCTGAACTCCCAGGCTCAGGTGGTCCTCCCACCTCGGCCTCCCGAGTGGCTGGTACTACAGATGTGTGCCACTATGCCTAGTTAATTTTTGTATTTTTTGTAGAGATGAAGTTTGGCCATGTTGCTGGTCTTGAGCTCCTGGGCTCAGGTGATCTGCCTACCTTGGCCTCCCAAAGTGCTGGGATTTCAGGTGTGAGCCACCACGCCTGGCCTGACAGTGTTCTGTATCACTCATTTGCATTATGGAATAGTGAGTCTGCGGATAAATTATATTTAGATATTTGAGTCCTATGTCATTCATTTATTAATTCTAAACATTTCAGAATCAAATCCAAGATGGAAATAGGAAGAACAAGCCACTGTGCTTGACTTAGACACCCAGCCTAAACTGATGGTGATATATTGTCATTACATCCTTTAGTTCTGATCAAATTAGACCTTGACGGGGGAGAAATGCTGAATCCTCATGCCCTACCAAACAAGAATCTATCAGCTTTATAAGAATTTCAATGTTTTAGACACAGGGTTTTCTTACAGCATTTATCAGTATTTCAACTAGTACAAAACAGAACTGGCTAGACAGACTGGCCCTGAGCTATATTAATTTAGGCCATAATTTTCTGTTATTGGGGTCTGCTGGCTTTATGCAGTTGACATGAGCAGGGTTAGGAGTAAATACTTAGATAACCCTTTCTTCACTCTACGCAAACAGCATCCTAAACCTTTAGAGAATGTGCAAACTCTGAAATAAAGTCTTGGTCTCTGAGTCTATCCTCCTGGAGGCCAGGCTCCAACCACACCTGGGGAGGAACTGCTGGAGGCACCTGTGTCGGCACATCCTGCAGGAGGCGCTGTCCCCACACCTGGCTCCAGGAGAAGTTCAGATAGAACCCCTGAGAAATCCAACACCGCTTTCCCCTGAGGACTGGAGACAGAAAGACTCATTGCTTTCCTTTCCTTTCATTTTTCTTTAAAGAACTTTTAATAAAAAAATAAAAATACAAGGTAACTGTTAACCTATTTCTCTAAACACACTAATGATCCCAGGCACATGACCTGACGGGACGTATTAATAGTTTAGTCACTATTTACCACCTTTTTTAGGGCATCGATATGAGTGAGCGCTTGTGCTTTCCTTTCAAGGGCTACATTTTCTGCCACAGCTGAGCGAGTCCTGAAGCCCGGCGCTTCCAGGTAGGGGAGCAGGCAATGCAAAGGGCAGGCCACAGCCTTCCTGCAGCACACACCTCTGCACTCCACACTGACCTCACGCCGGAGAAACCTGGGGAAGTCACAGCCCTGCCCTGCATCCCAGAAGCCTAAACTCTTATGGAAATAATATCCACAAGGATGCTGACGGGGCCTCAGGTCACAGGGTCTGTCCTAAAATGAACCCGCACTTGGACCACCAGCTTCTCATTCGGTCACTTGCTCAGCAAGGGAACTCAGCAGCTAGGTCACTGGAGGGGCTCTTTCAAACCCATCATGGTTCCAACCTTCTTCTCTGGTAAGGTCTACCCAAATCACACCTGCCCCCGAACTCCTCCTGCCACCACCCAAACCATACACTCCCGAGGAGGCCTCCAGTATCGCCCCTTGTGGCTCCATCTACTTCCACAGCCACCCTGTGAGGCTCTGCACTGCTGATGACTGTGCCTCACTCACCCTCATTCGCTAGGCCCAACACAGATTGCTCCTCCTGCACGGGGTCCCCATCTGGGGATTTCCTGTCACCGTGCTCACACAGCCCATGTGGCACCAGATGGGGCCAACCTCAGGGGACAGCAGGAACATGAGTTCCTCCTTGAGTTCTCAGGTGCAGCACAGTATCTGACACCCGGCTGGGGTCCACGGTGTTCACACGCCCCAACACCTGGCTGGTGTCTACGGTGGTCACACACCAAACGTCTGTACTGGTTACACTGCAGTGCACTTTCGATGGACTGATACCATCTACCCACCCAGACCCAAAGGCAGGAGTGATTCGTGATGCATATTTTTCCTCTCAAGGCTACCAGTGTCCTGGACACAAGAAATGTGCATGACATGACCCATTCGTGTGAATGGTTGAACATTTGAAATTTTATATAAAGTATCCTGTAAACAACGTGATGAGTCATAAAACATAGGAAGAATCTACGTAAAAACAATTTTAAAAAAGAGTTTAACATGAAGAACATTTTGACATCAAAATGGCAATCAAGTGAAAAACATTTTTAAAACATGTTCTTCAAAAACAGAAAGAAAGTGTTAGGCAAATAACTACGCTCGGTCCCCATGTTTCTGGTCACTAGTGAAACAACCTTATTCAAAAATAGAAAGCAGCAAGATATGTGTGTACAAACATATTACTTCAGGTTTTTAAGTATTAAAAGAGGCTGTGGGCGGTGGCTCACACCTGTAATCTTGGCACTTTGGGAGGCTGAGGAGGGCAGATCACGAGGTCAGGAGTTTGAGACCAGTCTGGCCAACATAGTCAAATGCTGTCTCTACTAAAAATACAAAAAAATTAGCCAGGGGTGGTGGCGCTCGCCTGTAGTCCTAGCCACTCCGGAGGCTGAGGCAGGAGAACTTGAACCCTGGAGGCAGAGGTTGCATCGAGCCGAGACCACGCCACTGCACTCCAGCCTGGATGACAGAGCGAGACTCTGTCTCAAAAATAAATTAATTAATTAAAATGTGAAAAAAAGTATTCAAAGAAAGAAAAAAATAAGTGCTTGCAGACAGTATCTACTGAGTCATAATATCTATGGAGCTTTCTTTCCTTAAGAAGCAGAAAGCCTAAAAGATTTAAAATTAAGAAAATTGCATTCAACTACAATGAGTTTGTAACTGAATGTGGATGCTGCAATCCAGTCTGCTGATGAGTTTAAGGCACTGCCCACGACATTCTAACCAGTAATGAAGTGTGGGAGGTACCTGTCATCTTCTGCTGATGTGTGCACAAGCAGCACATGAACACTTACCTTTAAGAGCATCCAGGAAATGCAGGTAAAGGGAGTGCTCATCTCCAGGAGCAAGGTGGTCATAGCCAGATAGTGGCCAGCTTGGAGACTGACTGAGCAGCCAAGAAACCCGAGGAAGGCAAAGAGATGGTGGACAGCCAGAAACAGGTCAAATGTTCGGAAGGCCAAGCTGGACAGGTGGACTGCGACGTTTTCAAAGAAAAAGAAGCCCGTTGCCGTCGTGATGTGAAACCAGCACCAGTTCTGCTGGCCACGTGCCTTGTCGGCATGGAGCACAGGGTCCCCCAGCAGAGCCCACAGGCCTGCAGCCGTGCTCTGAACACCGAACACTGCACGCGTGGCCGCCAGGTCCCAGAAGACCTTCTCTCTGGCCACCAAAGAACGGTACGTGGCATTCAGGGAGGACGACAGCTGGTGGCAGACCACAAAGACACCCAGGTAGAAGACAAAGCCAGCGACCACCAGCGTGGAGCGGATCCCCCAGGAGGCATAGTCCAGGTCAAAAACGCTCTCTGATGTGCCCCCGTTGCTCACAGGATTCATCATCCTCAGCTGTATTCTGAAGGAGTCCTGGGGCCAGCACAGCCCGGGCCCTACACAATCTTGTCCAAGAAAACGATGTCAGTGAAGTGATCCCTGGCACTGTCAGGTATCCATCTTCAATCTAAAGAAAAGAAGATCATTCATGTCATGTTGACTAAACAGAAGCAAGGACACATCACTCCCCCAGGCACGCGCAAACATTATAATACAAAAGGTTTCCTTTAATTCTGTACCTTATTCTTAATGCATTTAAAGGACGCATAAACATAGCAAGGGAACATCCACTGACAGTACAGGAGGAAAGAAAATGAAACGAAAGCTAGAGCGGCCCAGCAGTAAACAGGAGGCAGGAGCGCTGCTGGCAGGAACAGAAGATCCTATGCTCCTCCTGTGGGTACCCCACGAGCAAGATGCCCACTTTTACAGCAGTCCTGATCAGTCACACAATTCAGACATCACAGGATAAAACATACTTAAGTCATTCCGCAGGGATACACTTTGTTACAGCGCTGAACTTCCAGACCCCAATAAAAGAACACATCTTGGTGCTGCGAGGTCTGTGGCAAAGCTCTTTATGGACAATACTGGGTTTCGAGCAGTCCCCAGGTATGCCCGGGTTCAAATCCCTGCTCTGCCATACCCTAGTCACAGGACCCTCAGACTTTTCCAGGGCTCAGTTTCCTCCTGTAAAAGCGCACAGTGAACGCTGGAGGGGTGATGGATGTCGTGACCTGGAGCAGCGCCTGGTGCACCACGGGCCTCATAACTCGTATTCAGTGTCCTGGTCACCACCAGTCACTGTCATTCAGACGCTGTTATATAAAATGTCCTTAAAAAGAGTGGAGAAAACACAAGTCCTCAGGTCCCGTCTGTTAACTTGCAAATGGTCTGAACTGTTTTCAGTATCTCCTCTGAAATGAGTGCCCCGGAGCCGATCTGAGAAGGATGCTCCCATGCAGGCCCACTGCTCGGCCCACCTTCACACAGACCCCATTAACAGCTGAAGGGCTCTAGCCTGCTAAACCCACTGAGAGCCGTTCTGTTCACGTGGTTCCGAATGGTCTTCCCCAGGCTCTGAGAACTACCTGTTGGATGAAGCCCAGGCCCCATGCTGGACTAGGGCATCTTAACGGTCTTCCCCAGCTCTCAAAATCAAGAGGGCAATTCTTCTCAACCCTGAAAAACATTACCTTCAGGGACAGTACACAATGATTAAGTGACCCAAGGCCACAGATAGAGTTTATCAGAACCTTGTTTGGAAACCTCATTTTCTCCTAGTCACAGTGTCTGCCTCCAGGCAGGAAAAACATTGTGAACTAAATGGGTGTATTTGCCTATTCAAAAACGAGTTCAACCAAAATAAATCAGTAACTGCCATCAGAGAGTACTACAAACAGCTCTACTCACATAAACCAGTAAACCAGGAAGAACTGGATAAATTCCTAGCTGCTTGTACTCTACCAAGACTAAACCAGGGGGAAGCTGAAACCCTGAATAGACAATAACAAGGGCGGAAGTAGAGGCAGCAATCAATAGCGTACCAGCCAAAAAACATCCGGGTCCAGACGGGTTCACAGCCGAATTCTACCAGACGTACAAAGAGGAGCTGGTTCCATTCCTTCTGAAACTGTATCAAACAATACAAAAGGAGGGAATCCTCCCTAACTCACTTTATGAGACCAACATCATCCTGATACCAAAACCAGGCAGAGACTCAACTGAAAAAGAAAACTTCAGGCCAATATTCATGATGAACAGCGACACAAAAATCTTCAATAAAATACTGACAAACAGATGGCAACCGCACATCAAGAACCTTATCCATCACGACCAAGTAGGATTCGTCACGGTGATGCAAGGCTGGTTCAACATACGCAAATCCATAAATGTAATCCATCACATAAACGGAACCAAAGACAAAAACCACATGATTATCTCAATAGATGCAGAGAAGGCCTTCAATAAAATTCAACAGCGCTTCATGCCAAAAACTCTCAATAAACTAGGTATTGATGGAACGTATCATAAAATGATAAAACTATATATGACAAACCTACAGCCAATATCATACTGAACAGGCAAAAGCTGGAAGAATTCCCTTTGAAATCAGGCACTAGACAAGGATGCCCTCTCTTACCACTCCTATGCAACATAGTATTGGCAGTTCTAGCCAGAGCAATCAGGCAAGAAAAAGAAATAAAAGGTATTCAAATAGGAAAGGAGGAAGTCAAACTGTCTCTATTTGCAGATGACATGATTATATATCTAGAAGACCCCATCATCTCAGCCCAAAATCTTCTCAAACTGATAAGCAACTTCAGCAAAGTCTCAGGATATAAAATCAATGAGCAAAAATCACAAGCATTTCTATACACCAATAACAGACTTAAAGAGAGCCAAATCAAGAATGAACTGCCATTCACAATTGCTACAAAGAGAATAAAATACCTAAGAATACAACTAACAAAGGGTGTAAAGGACCTCTTCAAGGAGAACTACAAACCACTGCTCAACAAAATAAGAGAGGACACAAACAGATGGAGAAACATTCCACGCTCATGTTTAGGAAGAATCAATATCGTGAAAATGGCCATACTGCCCAAAGTAATCTATAGATTCAACGCTATCCCCATCAAGCTACCAGTGACCTTCTTCATCAAACTGGAAAAAAACACTTTAAACTTCATATGGAATCACAAAAGACCCTGCATAGCCAATACAATCCTGAGCAAAAAGAACAAAGCCGGAGGCATCACACTGCTGGACTTCAAACTATACTACAAGGCTACAGTAATCAAAACAGCATGGAACTGGTACCAAAACAGAGACCTAGACTAATGGAACAGAACAGAGACCCCAGAAGAAACACCACACATCTACAGCCTTCTGATCTTTGACAAACCCGGCAAAAACAAGCAACGGAGAAAGGACTCTTTGTTTAAGAAATGGTGTTGGGAAAACTGGCTAGCCATGTGCAGAAAGCAGAAACTGGACCCCTACCTGTCACCTTACACTAAAATTAACTCCAGATGGATCAAAGATTTAAACATAAAACCTAACACCATAAAAACACTAGAAGAAAACATAGGCAAAACCATCCAGGACATAGGTATAGGAAAGGACTTCATGATTAAAACACCAAAAGCAATGGCAATAAAAATCAGGATAGACAAATGGATCTAAACTCCAGAGCTTCTGTACAGCAAAAGAAACCATCATTAGAGTGAATCGGCAACCAACAGAATGTGAAAAAAATTTTGCAATCTACTCATCTGACAAAGGGCTAATATCCAGAACCTACAAAGAACTAAAACAGATATTGAAGAAAAAAACACACAACCCCATTCAAAAGTGGGCGAAGGATATGAACAGACACTTTTCAAAAGAAGACATATATGAGGCCAAGAAACATATGAAAAAATGCTCATCATCACTGGTCATTAGAGAAATGCAAATCAAAACCACATTGAGATACCATCTCACACCAGTTAGAATGGCAATCATTAAAAAATCTGGAGACAACAGATGCTGGAGAGGATGTGGAAAAATAGGAACACTCTTATACAATTGGTGGGAGTGTAAATTAGTTCAGCCACTGTGGAAGACAGTGTGGCAATTTCTCAAGGATCTAGAAAAAGAAATTCCATTTGACCAAGCAATCCCACTACTGGGTATATACCCAAAGAACTATAAATCGTTCTATTATAAAGACACATGCACATGTATGTTCATTGCAGCCCTGTGTACAATAGCAAAGACCTGGAACCAATCCAAATGCCCATCAATGATAGACTGGAAAAGAAAATGTGGTACATATACACCATGGACTACTACGCAGCCATAAAAAACGGTGAGTTCATGTCCTTTGTAGTGCCTTGGATAAATCTGGAAACCATCATTCTCAGCAAACTGACAAAAGAACAGAAAACCAAACACCACATATTCTCACTCACAGGTAGCTGTTGAACAATGAGAACACGTGGACGCAGGGAGAGGAGTATCATACACTGGGGGCAGTTGGGGGTGGTAGGGGAAAGACAGCAGTGGGTGGGGAGGGAGGGGAGGGCGGGGAGGGATAACATGGGGAGAAATGCGAGATATAGTATGCACCTAAAGTAAAATAAATCAAAGGCAAAATAGTACCAGTGTTTTTCTGTTTCTCCATTAACATTCCAGCTTTAACACAGGCTGGCTCTGTGCAAACACAAATCTGACGGGAGAAAGACAACACGGGCATTCATGTTTCTCCCTAGAGAAACGGCTCCCGTGTCACGCTGCCCCTGGTGCGTGTGTTCAGGGCACACAGGTGTGCTCTCTGGTGCTATGATGACGACTGAGAGGCTGCCACGCCCACAGCCAACACCTGTGGCCCACACCGGTCATGTTACGTCAAGATTCCCGTGTACTTAACCATCTCCACACACACCTATGCGAACTTCTACTCAAATCAGGTCGAACCCAGTAGTAAGGGAATGGCAAGAGCGCTCTGGTAACTCAGTGGGCAGCAAGGCATCTTCTAACCCCAGTGCACTTCACTGCAGCAGATCTCCCCCAAGTGCAGCCAGACGCCCAGAGGGGAGACCGCACACCAGCATTAAAGAAAAGCAGGACGGGCTGAGAGGAGACCACCCTCCAGCATTAAAGAAGACCAGGCTGGGCTGGGGGCAGACCGCACACCAGCATTAAAGAAAAGCAGGCTGGGTGGAAAGAACGGGTATCAAGCACGGAATAGCAATTCACTAAATTCACTAATTCATTTAACTGAACAACACTGTGAAAGGCTAAAATATGGACCCCTCCTAAAACTTCTTCTTGTACTTTTCCACGAGTCAGTCATGAGATCCGGGTTACAGGTCCCATCTTGTCACAGTTGCATCAATGTGCTCTTGGCCAAGACAGCTAACTTCTGTGGGGCCTTTGCCTTGAGACGGAAGGGTCCCTCACTCCGGAAGCTCTGCCCAGAGCAATGACTCAGATCTACCTCAGTGGAAGTGACGAGCCCAAGCGATGCTTCAGGAAGTCTTTGGTTCAGTCAAGGTGGGAGGGGCTCCAGGACACGAGAACCAAAGGACCAAGAATAACAGTTGGTTTAGTGGGTTCTGAACTTGGTTTCCCTATTTA